TCAGGCCCAGAGTTCAGACCCCACAACCGGACCAAAAAAAAAAAAAAAGTGATGGGGGATGGAGATGGGAAGGCAGGGATGGGAAGGGGAAACAAAGGAGGAGGCAACAATGCTTGATAAGAAATGTACTCAGTACCTTGCTCATGTAATTGTAACCCCTCTGTACAGTATTTTCACAATAAAAACAAACTTATTAAGAGAAAAGAAAGAAGTGATCAGGGTCCAGACCTGGGCTGATGGCTCCTGTTGACAAGTCACTGAATAAAAAAGAACCAGTGGTTCATACCTGTAATTGTAGCTATTCAGGAAACTGAGATTCAGAGGACTGAGGTCAAAGCCAGTCTGTGCAGAAAAGCCCTTGAGATTCCATCTCCAATTGACCAGCAAAAAGCTGGACTGGAAGTGTGGCTCAAGTAATAGCACATTAACTATGAGCCCATGAGCTTGAGTCCTTGAGTTTAAGCCCCACTACTAGTGCATGGTGTGGGTGCGTGGGCACATGTGTGCACACACACACAAAAACAAAGGTGGATTTCAGTTCTCTGGGTTACCTGGAGTGCAGAGTTGCTAGCAGTGTTACTATCAGACTTATGAAAATGTAAAGAGGGGCTGAGAAGGTGGCTCGGTAGTAGAGTGCTTCCCTCGCATTCATGAGGCCCTTGGTTTGATTCCTCAGCACCACAAAAAGAAAAAGCCAGAAGTGGCGCTGTGGTTCAAGTGGTAGAGTGCTAGCCCTGAGCTGAAGAGCTGAGGGACAGCGCCCAGGCCCAGAGTTCAGGCCCCATGACTGGACCCAAAAAAAAAAAGTCTCATGGATTTTCCTGTGATCCTCAGATCTCAGCCTCCTGTGTAGCTAGGATTACAGGCTTGAGTACTGGTGCCTGGCTAAAGGGAGTTTTTGATACATGTTTACAGTTGTTTATGGAGAGACACATTCCATTTAGGGGAACGACAGAAGGGCAAGGTTTTGCCCCTGCCACCTACAGTGCTAGCCTTAGCTTCTCTCCATGACTTTTTGAAAAGAAGGTGTTATTGTCTTGTTTCTAGGGAGACCAAAGAAGGAGCAAGAATTGTCGTGGAAGTTGATGACAAAGTGGCAAAAATTAGGAATTTAAAGGTAAGCCTGACATTGCTTTCTATTTGCTTCCCACTAGGATGAAATTGTGTATGTGAACTTGTTTAATATCAGGGGTAGGGGAAGACATCGAAAGAGATCGTGGGAAAGCCTGGACTAATCATATTATAAATTCTTTTGTTTGAAAGCAGCAACCAGACAACAGGAAAGATCTTAGTGCAGAGTATGTGGCTATTACTGCCCACAGTCTATAGGGTGCAGCTGTTTTGGAAACTGATTGTTAGCTACTTTGACAATAAACACAGAGGGGCTGGGAATGTGGCTTAGATTGCACAAAGCCCTGGGTTCGATTCCTCAGTACCACATAAACAGAAGAAGCTGGAAGTGGCACTGTGGCTCAAGTGGTAGAGTGCTAGCCTTGAGCAAAAGAGCTCAGAGACAGTGCCCAGGCTCTGAATTTAAGCCACCTATTCAAAAAAAGAAAAGAAACATTGAGGATCTTATGAGCACCATGATTAGTTTAAATCTTGCCAGTGATCTAGGGTGCAAGCTGTGTGTCTATTTACCTGACCAACATTAGACTTTGTTCCACATCTCTCCATTGATACCACTTTTTTTGGTGCTCGAGCCTAGCACTCTACCATTTGAACCACAATACCACTTCCACCTTTTTCTGAGTAGTTTATTGTAGATAAGAGTCTCATGGACTTGGCTGCCCTGGCTGGCTTCAAACTGAGATTCTCAGATTTCACCCTACTGAGTAGCTAGGATTATAGGCATGAGCCACCAGTGCCTGGCAGGATTTCTTTCTTTCCTTCCTTCCTTCCTTCCTTCCTTCTTTCCTTCCTTCCTTTCTTCCTTCCTTCCTTCCTTCCGTCCTTCCTTCCTTTCTTTTCTTTCCCAGTCCTGGGGTTTAAACTCAGGGCCTGGACACTGTTCCTGAGCTTCTTTTGCTCAAGGGACTTTTATATTTTACCACTTGACCCACAGTTCTACTTCTAGCTTTTTCTGTTTATATGGTACTGAGGAATTGAACTCAGGGCTTCATGAATGCTAGGCAAGCACTCTACCACTAAGCCACATTCCCAGTCCCAGGATTTCTTATTATTTTACTTTTTAGTGGTACTGGAGATTGAACTTAGGGCTTTGCACTTGTTAATAAGCAAATGTTCTACTGTTTAAGCTACATAGTCCTTTATGTTTTTGTTTTTCAAATAGGATCTCATTATTGGCTCTAGACAGTCTACACTGTGAGTCCTTTTTTTTTTTTTTCCCCAGTCCTGATGCTTGAACTCAGGGTCTGGGTGCTGTCCCTGAGCTTCTTTTGCTCAAGGATAGCACTTTACCACTTGAGCCTCAGTGTCACTTCTGGCATTTTCTTTTTTTTTTTTTTTGGGTCCGGTTGTGGGGCCTGAACTCTGGGCCTGGGCGCTGTCCCTCAGTTCTTCAGCTCAAGGCTAGCGCTCTACCACTTGAGCCACAGCGCCTCTTCCGGCTTTTTTCTTTTTGCTTATGTGGTGCTGAGGAATCGAACCCCGGGCCTCTGGCATGCAAGGCAAGCGCTCTACCACTGAGCCACCTTCCCAGCACTTCTGGCATTTTCTGTTCATGTGGTGCTGAGGAATCAAACCCAGAGCTTCGTGCATGTTAGTCAAGTGCTCTACTACTAAGCCACATTCCCAGCCATGCACTGTGATTCTTCTCTTTATACTTTTCATGTAGCTGGTATGACAGGTGTGAACCACTACATCCCAACATTTTTTTGTGTGTGTCAGTCATGGTGCTGGAACTCTGGGCCTGAGCGCTATCCCTCTGCTTTTCAGCCCCCTGAGTAGCTAGGATTACAGGTGTGAACTACCAGTGCCCCAGCTGCCCCCAACTTTTTATTAGTTGAGATGGGGGTCTCACAGACATTTTGCCTAGGCTAGCCTCAAATCTCAATCCTCCTGATCTCAGTCTTCTGAGACCTTGATCCTCCTGATCTCGGTCTCCTGAGTAGCTAGAATGAGAGAAGCCATTGCACCCTAATGCAGGATTTATTTTAACAATAGTGAGGCCCAAGTCTCAACCATCAGATCTCAAAAGGAAGTCAGTCACAAGCTTCAGTCTTGTTAAAATTTTTCTTTTACTGATCTGACTGAACATTGTGTTCCCCCACTTACCAAACTAGTAGAAAATGGAAGAGTTCTTTCTTTGTGGACCTGAAGAAGTGAAGATAGACAGGGGAAATTGACCATGTGACCACTGCTCTAGTCAATCAGCTTGTAGGGAGAAGGAAGCCAGCATTCCTGAGAGCTTAGGAAGCTGACTGGCAAGAATGAGGGTATATGGACCCGCTGGCTTCAGAGCCACATCCACTCACTCCCAAGCTACTTGGTGAGATGATCTGTTTTTGTTCAACAGCTCTTCGCTAATAGAGAATAAGACCTGCTAAACACTTTCTCTATCACTTGAGCTACAGCACCACTCCCGCTAAACACTTTCTCAACTGGTAGGTTCAGGGGGACAAAGGACTTTTTGTTTTCTACCATCTCTTACTTATCTTTGTTGACTAATCACTTTGTTTAGAAATCTTATATTTTTGATTCTTAAGATTAAATCTTGGCTAAGAGTAAATTTTAATATGCCCCCTACATACTTTCCAAAGTACTTCCCTAAGATTGGGCCATCTAGTAACCATCTCTTACTCATTCTGATAGTCTTATTCTTTGGGAGTTTTCATCTTTTTTTTTTCCTTGTGCTGGTCTTGGGCTTTAATTTAGGGCCTAAGTGCTTTCGCTAAGCTTTTTTGTTCAAGGCTAGTGCTCTACCACTTGAGCCACAGTGTCATTTCCTGTTTTCTGGTGGTGAATTGGAGATAAGAGTCTCATGGAGGTTCCTGCCCAGGCTAGCTTTAACTGTGATCCTCAGATCTCAGCTTCCTGAGTAGCTAGGATTAAGACATGAGCCACCGGTGCCCGACTGTAGTTTTTTTATTTTTTATTTTATTTATTTTTTGGTTGGTCATGGGGCTTGAACGTTGGGCCTGGGCGCTGTCCCTGCGCTGTTCAGCTCAAGGCGAGCGCTCTACCACTTGAGCCACAGCGCCACTTCCAGTTTTCTAGTGGTTTATTGGAAATAAGAGTCTTATGGACTTTCCTACCCAGGCTGGCTTTGAACCTCGATCCTCAGATCTCAGCCTCCTGAGTAGCTAGGATTATGGGCATGAGCCACTTTTGTCAGTCATGGGGCTTGAACTCTGGGCCTGGACGCTGTCCCTGAGCTCTTCAGCTCAAGGCTAGTGCTCTAAATATGAGGCAAGCACTCTATTACTGAACCACCTTCCTAACCCTTAAAAAATTTTTTTATTGTTATTATAAAGGTGATGTGCAGAGGGTTTACAGTTGCATAAGTCAGGTAAAGAGTACATTTCTTTTTGGACAATGTCACCCTTTCCATGGCGCTCTCCCAGTTTTTTTTTTTTTTTTTTTTTGTTGTTCATGGGGCTTGAATTCTGGGCTTGGGCGCTGTCCCTGTGCTCTTCAGCTCAAGGTGAGCACTCTACTACTTGAGCCACAGCACCACTTCTGGTTTTCTAGTGGTTTATTGGAGATAAGAGTCTCATGGACTTTCCTGCCCGGACTGACTTTGAACTGTGATCCTCAGATCTCAGCCTCCTGAGTAGCTAGGATTACAGGCGTGAGCCACCGGCGCCCAGTCACTCTCCCAGTTTTTGCCTCTTATTCCTACTCACAAGTTATATAGTTCATTTTCAACATATTGTCCAGTGAGTACCATTGCTACATTTGTCTTCTGTAGTTTTTGACAGCTTGTGCCAAGTGTTGTTTTTCCTATCAATAGTATAATTTTTATTTATTTATATTTTGTCGGTCATGGGGCCTGAACTCTGGGCCTGGGCGCTGTCCCTCAGCTCTTCAGTTCAAGGCTAGTGCCATACCACCAGAGCCACAGTGCCACTTTTGGCCTTTTCTGTTTATGTGTTGCTGAAGAATCGAACCCAGGGTCTCATGCATGTGAAGCAAGCGCTCTACCACTGAGCCACCTTCCCAGCCCATATAGTATAACATTTTTTAGTAATTACTCTGCCCTTATCTACCTTGGGCAGTTGGATTGTTCTTGGCTCTTCTCTCCACATGATTTCTAAATTCACTGGTGATTGGTACTCCAGGGACCTCAGTGAAGGTTCCAGATTGATGGAGCCTTTTTGGGACCAGGGGATGAAATACATGTACATGTTCAGAATCCTCTGTACAATTACTTAGCAGGGAAATGATGATGATGTAGAAGATGCTGAGAGAGGGAGAAACTTTCTCTCCTGAGATGTCCTACATCTCATGGCTGGTACCTCTGTAGACCGATACATGACAGAATGATAAACGTACTTAATTCTTTAGGCTTTATTTATATTGAAGTAGAGATAAAGATTACATTTTTGTAGATAGATATGATAAACAATTCCAGGTCTTTCTAATTACAGTAGAGAACAATTAAGTGACACTGGGCAGTATGTAATATTATGGCTGAGAAAATACACTGATTCCATTTTTTATTTCAGGTGGACAGTCGACCAGATGGCTTTGGAGATTCCAGGGAGAAGGTTGTAGCATTTGGCTTTGACTACTGCTACTGGTCAGTGAGCCCAGAGGACCCTCAGTATGCATCTCAGGATGTGGTAATGTCATTCTTCATTTTTCTCTACTCTCTTCAGTGTTTTATAGATAATTTGCAAGGTAGAGTGGCAAAGATTGGATGTACTCCAATTGGTATTTTAAGTTTTAAGAAAATTTTAATCAAACATGATGGGTTTTGAGAAGAAAAAAAAAACCTCCAATACATCAGAAAACCATTGGCCTTTTCATATAATGTTTCTCTGGCAGTATTACCAAAAAAACATTATTTCAAAGCATTGATCTCATTGTATATTTCTTTATACCTTCATAACTGAATGGTTATTGGAGAATTAGTATGGATTCTTGGCTCTGGATGTTTCTTATGGTATATTGTTCAGAAACTATTGATTTTATTATTTTTTTTGGTCAGTCATGGGGCTTGAACTCTAGGTCTGGGCGCTGACCCTTAGCTCTTCAGCTCAAGGCTAGCACTCTATCACTTGAGCTACAGTACCACTTCAGGTTTTCTGAGTGGTTTATTAGAGTTAAGAGTCTTATGGACTTTCCTGTCTGGGCTGGCTTTGAACTGTGTTCCTCAGATCTCAGCCTCCTGAGTAGCTAGGATTACAGGCATGATTCACCAGCGCCCGGCTTGTTTTAATCTTAATAATGGTAAGGAGAAGCATCCATTCCTGAAAGCGAAGGTGGTAGGAAGTGAATGCTTGGTCAGGCATGGCACTTGGCTGGTGTCCATTTAGGCTCGAGCCTCAGCTGGATTCTGTGGGTTTGAGTTAGCAGTCCTCCTGTAATAAGTCACTTCAAATATGATCTTGAATTGTGGGTAGAAGAAGGGCCCAAGAATCCTAAAAGCTGGTGTTTTCTTTGAGCCTTGTGCTTGTTCTAGTACTCGACAACTAGGTAGCTCATCTGCATGGTATGCTGGAGACCAATTCTGTTGATGTGCTAAGGACTGAGTGGACCAGCCAAGGATTTGTTGGTTACCTTTTCTGTGGTTTGTAGTTCTTAGGTCTTAAGTTTCCAAGACAGCTGGAGGTCTGGCCAGTGGGTCTATAGGACATCTTTGTTTCTGGGAAGCAGCAGCATTGTCTTGGCTTGAACACTGTAGAAGGCCATGTGAGGGCCAAAGAGCCTTGCTCAGGCAGTTCTGTGACCACAAGGTGATAGCCCTCATCCCTAAAATTAGTGTAAAAAATTATAAGCTGAAGTCAGATACTGGTGGCTCATGCCTGTAATCCTAACTACTCAGGAGGCTGACATATGCAGATTGAAGTTTGAAGCCAGGCTGGGCAGAAAAGTCCATGTGAGTCTCTTATCTCCAATTAACCACTCAAAAACCAGAAGTGGCACTGTGGCTCAAGTAGTAGAGCACTAATCTTGAGTACAAAGAGACTCAGGGACAATGCCCAGGCTCTGAGTTCAAGCCCCACAACTGACAAAGAAAAAATTATAAGCTGAGCACGTACCACCGTCTAAAATTCCAGTTACTCAAGAGAATTGCAAGCTCAAGGTCAGTCTGACAGCTTAGCAAGATTCTGTCCCCAAATAAAAACACACACATGTTCGGCCTTTCAGATGGTTCAGTATTATTAAACTTACACATGAAAGAATGGCATAGGAGGGCTGGGAAGGTGGCTCAGTGGTAGAGCGCTTGCCTTGCATGCTCGAGGCCCTGGGTTCGATTCCTCAGCACCACATAAGCAAAAAGAAAAAAGCTG